ATGGAAAGCATCATAAAAACAAAGATAACAAAATATTCCCGAAGAACAAATGTAGCACACTGCCTGTTAGGGTAAAGCCCACCAGCTCAGAATCCTTTTCTTCTTTTCAATAATTACATGTAAAAATCAAAATAATGCTGCATAGTACATGAAAATTACGTGTAATTCCAGTTTCTATGTCCTCAAAGTTTGAGTGAAGCAAACCCACACTCATCCATTTACATACGATCTGAGGCTCCCTTCCCACGATGCAGGCCGGGCCGGAGCGTGAAGCAAGACCCAGGGGCTGGAGAACCAAAATATTTACTATTTGTCCCTTTATGGAAACACTTTGCCAACTCCAAAGCACATTTTCTAAGACATTTTTTAAGTGGAAGTAAAGGAAAGCAGAGTCATAGCAACAGTATGTCATAAGGAAAAAAGGATAAAATAATTTCAAATGCAAAAAGGTTTGGATATCTCAGAGAGAGAAACTGAGGAGCTAGGAGTTAGGGCATATGTATGTATATATATATATATATATATATATATATATATATATATATATATATCTTTGGATTTTGAATTAAACAAATTTGAAATGATTTCAATCACATATGAAATATTTTAAATTATAGTACTTTATTACTTTTAGAAAAGCATCAGCACAACTTCAAAATTAAACTACTCATTCTCTGTTAAATTCAGGCATTCAATAATGCTAAGCACACAAGAGTATTATTTGTAATAATAATATTACGCGACAGGAATATTTTTTGTAAACATCATTTCTGAAAACCAACTTAGTGTGCATAGGAGGAAATATTTAAAATTGCATATTCCATATTCCTTGCTCCATACTCAATAAATTCTATTTCTAGAAATCTATTCTTTAAAAAAAATAAAAAGATCAGCCAGTGATTTATAGAATAAAATGGTCAAATGCAACTAATTTGTGATGGATAACAAAACTGTAAGAAGCTTATATTTTCAACTATAGTGGATTGACTAACTATAACTTTTTTCCGCCAGCACTACTGGCCAATGATAAAGGGTTTGTGTGGCACGCACGGGGCCCTGAGTTCAATCTCAAGTGAAATAGAATAAAATAGTGCTCTTGGGACATATTTAAAGCCAAAGAGATAATTTACCACATAAATCTAAAATCAAAATGAAAAATAAACAGTTGAATATATCATTCAATTATGATTTTTTTAATTTTGAATTTGTAATCCACACATAAGAAGTAAATGTACTGAAATATTAACAGGTCTTATCCTTTAATAGTAGGACTATGCTAACTCTATAGGTGTCAATGGCAAAAACACCCACAGCTGTGTTTTTATTTTCTTCCCTGATCCTTTCTGAATTTTCCACATGCTCTAAAATGAGTATGTACTAAAAAATAAATAAATAAAATAAAATGAGTAAGTGCTGTTCATGTAACTGGAAGAGGGATGAGTGGCCGGGTAGGACGTGGTACCTTTTCTAAAACAAACCCAGAGCAGAGGTACTTACCTTCTTTCTCCCGTAGTAGAGCAGCTTCGTGAACTTCTCCACTACCTGCTCAGGCGTCTCCACAGTGGGCGGGATCTCCCCAGTGAGCAGGTTGCGAGTCCCAGTGTTCATCACCGGCCAGTCCTCATCGCTCAGGCTGATGAGGTTGGCCACAGGCGCCTGTCGCTTGTATTTCTCCAGTTTTTTGCAGTCTTGCATCAGTAGCTCAGCTATGTCAGACCCCACCATGGACTGCAAGGCAAAAGGGGTCATCCTGAGGGACGGTCTCACTGGTACTCATGTTGCCAGCCCAAGTTACAGAAGAAAGGTGCTAGGCATCACCCCTCTTCAAAAGGAAGACGATCATGCAAACATGGCAGTCCTTTCTTGGATTACTGTATTTCAAATGTCAGCTTTACTACAATGGTTATTTTCTGCCTGTCGGAGCCATGAGGCTTACTGGAACCATTCTCAGCTTCCCAGTGGTATTATCTGGCTGGTGCAATAACCCAGGAACATTCAATAATTCCCAGCCAGGGGAGAGGAGAGTCAGGGGAACTGTTTGGGTTAGCAGACTGGTGTTGCCATCGGAGCGACATTCTTCCTGAGGACAACGTGTTGCTTCTCTAATACTGCTTTGCCCATCATAGCACAGACCAACTCTTATCTATACCGCAAATACTTCAATTCTAGCCCAGCAAGCACCTGCCCTCCCATCAAAGCAGGAACTTACCCCATTCTGGCGACAAAGAAGAACTAACAGTTGCCAAAGCAGAGCCGAGTCCCTGCTCCCTGGTGTCCCAGATTTGTGGCTCTGAGCAGCTTTCTGCTGGCAAAATGTCATGATGTCCACCTTGTGTACATCTTGTCTGTGAAGAGATTTCAGGATCAGGGTGAGCAGACATATGACCCCAGGACCTCTACAGGGTGCTGGCAGTCTGGAGTTGAGAACACAGCCTGATAACCCGGGGCTGGATGACACATCTGTACCCACAGGAAGGTTATTCTATTTTGAACAGGAAGAGACTTCAGAAATTCTCTTGACGCACTTTCCATTTTACAGATGAGGAAACTGAGGACCAAACAGAGACCTTAAGGGACCGCACAGAATATGAGGTAAAACTTTGGAATCTGGTGATCCTGAGCCTAAATCTACTCAGCCACATTTCAGTTTTGACAAGTTTCTTATCTCCTCTGACCCTGTTCTTTCACCTCCCTAAGTTAGGGATAATAAAAGAACCTACCTTTGTACAGAAAAAATAATCAAATAGAATGATATGCAGCAAGTGCTCAATAAATAGACATAATTATTTGCACAAGGTCATTAGATAAGTCAAAGCAACATTAGGGCCAAGCGCTTAGTACCCAACTCAGTTCTGCACTCGCACCCATACACCTGTGTGTAAGCAGAGACAGCACTCAGTTTTGAAGCTCCCAAATGCAATATGGGGATTTTTATAGGAGGGGAGCTTCAGAATAAGGATATATTTATACAGTAATGATGATATTTGAAGAGTTTCCACCTGCATAATTTCTCTTGACTCTTATTGTCATGGTGTGGAATAGCTCGTCTCAGAGGGAAAATCAAGGTTCAGAAAGGACTAATGAACCCGCTCACCACAGTCGCACTGGTGAGTAGGATGCCTGAACCCAGAAGCCAGGTTCTCTGACACTCAGCTGCTACTGAATGGCAGAGGAGGAACCCTGTTCCCTCCTTATCAGCAACACAACTGTACATGTAAAAGCTGTTCCAGTTTGGTCCTGCAGAGGGCAGACCTACACATCATCCAGTAACTGGAAAGCTGATCATTCTAGCTCCAAAAAAGGTGCTGTTGCAAGAATTGCTTTCTGTTGTGCTCCACTCACCAATGATTTCCGGGGCTATAGTCCACTTTCCCACTAATATCTATGAAATGCATGAAACACTAAAACTTCCTGCCATGCAACTTCTACAAAATGAAATCAATTTTTAGGTTTCCAAAGTAAGCTTATTTTTCTTTCTGGTCTCCAAATATCAAATAGCTTATCAAAATAGCTCAGGCCACCTTTAGTTCCATTTAGCAGCACAGAGAACTCTACTCCAGCTGGGACAGACCATTTCTTCCAAGGAAGCTAGGACAAGGCCCCAAAGTACTGACACAGGCAGGAAGATTTTCCAGGTTGTAAAAGCCTTTGCTAAGCAGCTCTTCCAGTAATTCACCTGATCAGGGGTCCTGAGAAACTTCTCATCTCCTCTTGGGCCTCTGAGTCATTCAGAATAACCTGGAACAGAAAATCAAATTGGTCTTGAAGACTACTCTACCAGTGTCTCTGTGTCCGATTCCAGGGCTGTGGCCCTAAGGAGTGGCTCTGTGCCTTGTGAGAAAACAAAATGACCAAAGTGGAATATGCTGTTGAAGATGAACCGCTAGCATCTCAGAGAAAGCATAGCTCTAGCATCACTTCTTTCAGAAAAGAGCACATCATTCCTGCAGCCTTGGATCCAGGGAGTGCGTGGCCCAATTCCCCACCAGAGTATCCCCTCTTGGAGCTGCACATGCTAGGGCAAAGGGAAGCACGGAAGTATGTCAAGAGTAGTTGGGTGAGCCAGGAAGACAGCTCAGTGGCACAGTGCCTGCCTGGCAAGCACAAGATCCTGAGTTTGATTCCTGGCACCAAAAGGGAAAAAAGGTAGTTGGGCGAGCAGTGGGCCAGCACTGCCAGGCACAGAGCGTGTCTACCTACCTCCATGCTATGCAGTTCAACAAGGGGCACCTGCCCATCCATGGGCGAGCTGGGACACACACACACCAGCTGACCTCCTGGCCCAAAACTCACAGAGACATGAGGGACGTAGAACTTCATGGGTGTCTTGGGACCAACTTCCGAGACAGCCCCTGACCAGTGGACACAGATGGCATTGTTAGCATTACTTTCACTGTTTTTCTCTAGTTTAGAAGCATGCCACAGACATGCTTCTACCCAGATTCTACCTGGGACTTAGATAAGCTTCTAGGCAGGCTAACAATTAGAAGAAACCTGTGATTCATGCTCCACTTTGATTTAAGTCTCTGAGAATATGTCAGAATACAATGCAAGGATTTGATAATTTGATTAAATGATAATGTGACCAGCCTGCACTCTTACTAATACTAAGAGGCCAAGAAGTGTCCAGTTGCTGTGACTTCTATGCCCATAGCAATCTCCTACAACCAGACTTTGTGCCCTGCCTTTGCCTTTCCCCATGCTCTCTGGCTTTCACCTTCTCCACCAGTTGCTAAAAGGGTCCCTGAATGTCTCCTGGCCCTGCCTGAGAAGCAGCTATGGTGACATCTCCTTTATAAGAGAAAAAGTGGGAAGTGCTCCCTTCTGAGAACCAGCAATGGTGCAATCTCCTTTCTCCTTTACAAGAGAAAAAGTAGGAAGTGAAGCCAAAGCCAAAGTTGGCTTCACTGCCTAGAAGGCCTGCATAAGAAAGAGGGACAATAGTTTATTCCCAGAAATACAAGGTCGAGGAGACTCCCCAAGAGCCTTGCCATCCAGCCTTTCCTCGTTAGGCTCAACCAATGACAGCCATCGCTTTAGTACTCACCAGCCTGCCCTGGACTCCACGCTACTGAATCCACAGGATCATACTGTTCTGAGGCATCTGACATGTACTGACTGAGCTCATAGCTGCTGGAGCTGAGGCCAGACTCCTGCTGCTGGAGAAGGTTGGACTTGCTGGCCAGGGACTGCTGAAAGTTAAAAGGCAATGAAAGCACATGGGAAGGACTTTCAAGGAGCTGGTCCTCTCGAGTGATTCTTCAGAGAGAGAAGATGCAAAGTCCCCAGTAAGCACAGCAAATGCAGATATGTTCAGTTGGCAGGGGTTTGGGCTGAAGGATGCGTCATGGCTCAGTGTGTAGTGCACAGGTCCTACAGTCAGGGCACCTTGAATTCAAACCTCAACTTTAAGTCCCGAACACCCTTCTACTGTGACTTGGAACAAGTGACTTGTGTTACCCAAGCTCAATACCTTCCTTTGTAGATAAACAGAATTGTTCTATTGCTTCCTCATGCATTCATTTACCATCTATATTATGAGCTGTACTGTGCTCCCAGCACAGGGCTTTCCCTGGGGATATGGTTATGTAAGAAATTCATGGAACTTACATTCTGATAAGATATAAGTAAAACAAATATTCAAAACTCATTGTACACTGAAAAGTGTTATACATGCATGCATGACTGCTGTTACCCGGTTGCTGATATTCATCACAGTAATCCTACCCTGGTAAGCATGAGGCGTACAGAGAAATCCACCAAAAATCATACAGAGATAATCAGGGAGAGATTTTTTTTTTTTTTTTTTTTTTTTTTGAACCGGGGATTGAACTCAGGCCCTTGAGCTTGCCAGGCAAGCGCTTATTCTACTGAGCTATCTCCCCGGCCCCAAGGGAGAGAATATTAACACAAGACTGTCAGAAATCAAGAGCTCGGGGGCCTGGCCCTAGCTCAGTCCTTTCAGTGGCTGCTTCCACAAAGCTGTCAGCCTCAGGTTGCTGGAGTTCGGACCTCACAACTCTCCAGCTGGCCAAAAGTGCCCTGAAGGCATTCAAGGAAGAGAAATCAAGAGCTCCTCTCCATAGCATCTTTGCAAATATTCCATAGAACTAAAACTTTCCCAAAATTAAAAATTTATTTAAAAAATTAAGAGCTCCATTTTGTAGCATGGTTGGGACACACACTATGATTTTAAAGAAAAGAGATGAGAGTCAGGAATGGTTTCAAGCCCTGTTTTTCAAATTTGAATTAAAAGATTCTAGCAACTTTCAATTTCCAGATTAAACCAAATTTCTATTGCCCTGGGGCCCCTAGAACCTAATACTTAGTGACAGCCTCTTCTCTAGGCCAATTTGACAAAAATGCAAAGGGCTAGATCAGCACCTCAGACTCGCAAGACTGAATCAGGAGAGCAGGGGTGTGGGGGTGCAAGGGGAGGCCCTGCCGAGAGCAGAGGAGGAGAGTTCTGCAGACAGCTGGCCGCTGGAGACCTCATCCCTAAGGGCCCTGCATGCCACTACTGACAGTGTCAGTTATGATGCATGACCAAGGGCCTCCAGCTCATGTCGCTTCAGGTTACCTTATTCTTTGGAGCTCCAGTTGGCAGGTTCTCTGGAAGGAGTTCCCCAGGCCGCTCTTGTCCTGAGCTGGAAGCAGGACTGTCTTTATAAGTATTCCAGCTGGTAGAGCTGCAGCAAAATGACAGCAGAGGTTAGACAGGTGCTGGGCCAGCCAGCAAGGCTAAACGCTCTCCACTGGAAGCTCTCCTGATTCTAAGGTCAGCACAGATGCCACAGGGAAAAGCACTTCTCTCCCATTCCGTACCAGTGTGTTGATCCCAGAAAAACATGCACCCCTGGGTTCCAAATATAATTACTAGAAATAGCCTCAAATCCACAGCAAAAGTTGGTCTCCACAGTCTGCCATCATGGAGTGGCTTAACACATTCGAGATGGAGCCATAATTCTGATGTCTCACTGCCAGCTGGCTCTGAACCACTGGTATATCCGCACCAGTGGTACATGTATCCACTGTCCACCAGGCAGCTGATACCACCAGTGGTACATATATGACTAGCCATGCTGTCTGATGCAGATACCACCAGTGGCTCAAGTTGGTGGTAACACGTTAAATCAGAACACTTTGGTTGGTGAGTCCTAGACTATGGAACCATGACAAATACTTGGGCAAAAATCTCTTCCTTGTTCTGCCTTATGTCAGGATCACATTTCATCGAGGGGTCCAGAAATGGGCAGAGGAGAAACACTCCGGTCTCAGGTAGGACCCAGTCATAAGAACCTTTGCAAGGCTACAATCATTCTGAGGCTCACATAGGATTAAGAGCTCCAGCAGCCTGGCAGGACAGAAACCAGCGCTGGTTGCAGAGCAAGCAACTCCTCAGAGATAAGACTTTCTGCCCAGGCCCTGTTAACGGCTGGCCTAGGCCATCCTGGGCTACTCCCATGTCTCTGTGGCTAGAACAAAAGTAGACAGGTTACTGGAGATATGGGGTCACCACCAGGTACCTCAAGATTGGCCTAAAGGAGTCAGAGTTGAATGAACCTTATCAAACTGACCTTCCCTTTCACACTTACTGGATCTGCGTCTCATTATTTGTTCCAAATGCACTACTCGTGCTTTCATGATTATATTCAGTGAGGTACTTTTGATCTCCATGATCTTCATGCCAGACATAAGGACTCCCCTGCCTTGGTACTGCACCCTCAGAGAGAACAAAATAAGGCCAGGTCACTTCCTCTTTCAGACAGTTCTTTTAGAAAGATACTGGTGAGCTGTGAAGCAGAGTTACTAGAGCACAATTAGTGTGAAAACATGTTTGTTCTGGACACCGGAATAAGCTCAGTGGCAGAGTGGCATGTGCTATGTACTAGTTTAATTCCTAGTCCTGGAAAAAAAAAAAAAAAGCCAAATTAATGAGTCAGAGCTGACAGTGCCTCTCTAAACCAATTAACATGGCTCTATCCATGTGCTCAGTACTGGGGATCACGATATAGGTGGGTGTGGTGGTTTGGGGGTATATTCAACACTGAAACAAATTTTCCTTTGTTAGCCAGTCAGAAATCACCACTAGCCCACACAGGTACCTGTCAGTACAGGGTATAAAACTCCTGTTGATACATGACTGCCCCTGGAGGGTGAAACGATGCCCAGAACACATGATGCCCAGCCCAACACAAAGCAGATGCCCTTAAAAACCAACTTTTCTGTTACTTCCTCAGTAACTCTAACCATGGCTATGAGGAAGAGTCAGAGAAAAACATGCAACAAAGCCATGCACATGACTGCTAACTCCGCCATAAGTTTCTTTTTTGTTTGTTTGGGGTTTTGTTGTTTGTTGTTTTTTTTTTCCCACCATAAGTTTCTGCACCACCATCACATGCAAAGGGAAGTCTTTTCTACTGTTCCCAAGACTTTAAGGAGAAGGAGCTCTGCTCTTGTCTCATTTGCCCAAAAGGGAGCCTTTGCACATGGCACCATAGGCCTCTGCCCTATCTGTCAGCCCAGCTGCTGCCGACCCAAACCCCAAAGGTTTCTTGGAGACTGTTACACACCTCTGTCCTCCTGCCGCCACTGCAGATATCCATGGTAGTAATAATTTCCATAAACGTGTTCATCCCTCAGTGATGGAGAGTACTGTCTCTGAGAGGGACCCTCGTAGCCCGCCCTACGGCACCACAAACAAGTTCAGTCATCTGAGGATGAGTATGGTGGAGAAAAAAAGCCACAAGCACTGGACAAATTAAACAACTTCAGATGGTAGAACCTCCCACCCCCATCCTGGTCCAGAATCTGCCTGAACGCCAGTTCATACAGGGTCCTAGAAACAAAAAACTCAGGATCAGGACAAGAGGGAGAGAGACCCTTGTTAGTTACATAATAAGGCTGTGGTTCTCAGTGTAAAACAGTAAGATTTTATTTAAAACTTTTTTAAAAAACTATATTTTAGTTTAGAATACTTTTTTTAGTGAAACTCTTTACTCTTCAAATACACATGTCCACCAATACTCTGCCCAGATAGCACCTGAGAAAACCCTTCATGAGAAGATTGCAAGAGCCCAATACATTACTATAATTTCCAGCCCCATTATGGATAAAAATGAGATGGGAAAGGTCAAGATGGACTATTTTAGATCTGATTATTTTCATTACCTCTGTCCTTTATATACCTTCCGTTGAAAATCTGACAACCAGGAAAGAAATATCATGTTGTTAATATTAATAATACTTTACCATTTCAGAGTCAAATTCTTTATGCTAATTACCATAATTTCAACACTAAATCTGTAAGTGCATAAATGCCATCCTAATTGGAAAAGCGACAGTAGAACGTAAATGGCCTCCAATGTTCCATGAGCTATTTCATATAGAGCTATTGATCAGAATTCTGTAGGGTCAGAGAGAAATTCCTGATGCTCCAACCTAGAATAGCAGCACTGTTGCCTCCCTTTCTGAACACAAAACCTGTTCATCTATATCTACCTTTCAGGGCTGATTTTTCTTAAAGTTCTCATTCTTCTAACACATCTAGATTGTGTAACCTGCCACATTCCAGGTACAGTTCTGGGCACTAGGACATGGTCTGGTGGTGGTGGTGGTGTCATGCTAACACCAGGGTGGAGTACCCCAAAGATGATAAGGAACTTAGCATAGCATCCTAAGAAAGCTTCTCCTTAGTCTACATACGTTGCCTCTTGCAACCTCAAAGCAAGCAGGTCCCACTTGTGGGCTTGAATTTGTACTTTCTAATCTTTCCATCTCCAGTAAGAGCTGCTTTAAGAAGCTGTTTCTCAAAATGGAAAAATTTAACCCCCTCAAATTAATTAATAAATATAATCTCAAATAGGAAAAAAAAAAAAAAAAAAGAAGCTCCTAGATAAAGAGAAGGAAAATTCTATCTTCAAGGTCCAGTCAGATAGCTCAGCAGACTAAAACACCTGCTTAGGCAGAATGCAGTGGCCAGAGTTCGATCCCTGGAGTGCTGGGCCTGTGCCTGGGGTGCTGAGACAGCAACTGAGACTAGGCTTGGTGGTGCATGCCTGTACTCCCGGAGCTTGGGAGGCTGCTAACAGGAGGATCACTACAAGTCTGATCTATGTAGTGAAACCCTGTAGACTCTGTACTAAATACATTTTAAAAAAAGAAAAAGAAAATTCTATCTTCAGTCATCTGTGAGAAGCATCTAGCAAAGCCAGGTTCATTGCAAGTCTTAAATCCATACCTGTGGTATAAGTGAGTGGGGTAACCTCCTTCATAGTAGTCAACTCCAGACCCAGGATGAGGCCATTCCCCGGGCCTAGATGCATACAGGGGCTGCTGGTGGTCTGCCCTGGGATCCTGCTGTGGCTGAGGACTCCCACGGACATCTTGCCATTGATAGAACCTTTCTCCATTGTGTCGAGGGTGAGGATCAGGCCAACGATATCCACTCCAAAGACCTGGGCCTGGGTCCTTTGATGGTGCTGTGGGCTTCCCCCGAGGCTGAGATGGCCACTGGGGAACCCAGAGTTCCATTCCAACCCTCTCAGTTTCCCTTATATTTTGAGCAGTTATGTAGTTATTTTATTTTCCTGCAGAAAAAACAACGAAGAAAGAAATCATCATTTTAAGCCTATCTCCAAACATGATTATTGATTCGGTTTTGTGAAAAGAGCAATTTGTGGTCCTCAAAACCCTATCTAAAACAAACCCTATGGGCATAAATATAGAGAAATATGAAGAAAAATTGAGCAGATACATAAAATAAATAACAGGCTCAACAATTATACTGACGTTTCTTAAAAAAATTAAAAAGTACATATGGAACAACAGATGTGGGAGGCATGGGAGACAGATAACATTAATAGATGCATCTACAAAATGCTACCAAGGAATCCCAATTAATGTTTCTTTATTTATCCCAGCAGCAAATATTTATATAACACTTATTATAGGGCTGGAGAAATAGCTCTACAGTCTAAGCACCTGCCTGGCAAGCACAAGGACCCGGCTTGATCCCTGGTACTGCATGCTATGCTGGCCCTGGGAACCCTAGGCACACTGTGCCAGCCCTGAAACTGGGCATGGTGGCACACACCTATAATCCCAGCACTGGGGAGGCTGAGATAGGAGGATCACTATGAGTCTGAACTGCATAGCCAGACCCTGTATCCAATAAATAAATGGAAAAAAAATTTAGACATATGATAGGTGTGCTGAACTATCACAGAAGTAGAGTTGACTTTGGAGAGAGCTAGAGCAGAATTCAAATCCTGACTCTGCCACTTACTAACAGGCTAACATTTTTAAGCTTCAATTTCTTTACCCATAACATAGAAATCATAATAACTACTTTGCAGAGTTATTGTCAGCACTAGAGAGAGAAATGGCAAGTGCCCAGAACACTTTCTGGCATGCAGAAACTGCTCAATAAATACTAATAGTTTTATTAGAAATAAAGTTTAAAGTGGTGTGAGTAGCTGAAAAGTATTTCCTAAACAAACAGAAGCTTCGATTTGCCTCTCAAGAGACACATTTTTTGAGTCTTTCCATGAACCTTCTCAAAGAATGAGACCTTATAATATAACCATTCCTCTTCGGGAGCGCCAGCGGACGTGAGCCTGGGGTCAGAAGAGCTCTTCCTAGCTGGAGATTTTCAAAGCTAAAAGTCTTCCTTGAATAAAACAAGTTTCCCCTTCTGATCCTCAAAATGGGAAGTAGCTGCAGGAGTGGTGACCTCCCAAGCCCCTCATTCCATCTCATCAAGAAGAGCAGACAGCCTCAACCCTACTCACGTTCAGGGAGCCCCTACATCACCAGCCCACACAGGGCAGCTCAGCCCCAGCTTTCTTCTTCTTGGGAACTACCTTAGGTTGCAAGATTCTGATCAAGCCTATTAACTTGTTTCATTCCTGAAGCTCCCAACATTGTCTAAAATATCACATCAGAACAAAAGGTCAGAAGGGCGTGTATCCAAACCAAGACATCACTGAACTCAAACACAGAGCCAGGCGCCGGTGCTATGAGCCAAGAGCTATGAGACAGCAGAATGCGCAAGAGTGAGGCACAGAGTTACCCTCAACCTCAACCTCACTCACAGCTCTGGAGACCCAAGGAAACTCAGACTTCTCTAAAAGCCAGATATGATGAAAGCTTCTTGCAAGCAAATTCCAGGAAGGCCCAGTGCTCCAGGTCAGGGCAAGAGAGAATGGACTTTCCTAAAGACCTGTGAAACTCAGCTCTATTCAGATACAAGTAAGTGAACCAAAAGAAAGCTGCTTTCATCTTGTTGGGAGATCAATCTTCACCAACCAGCTCATTCTGACCACAAGGGCACTACACCCCATCTCATCATTGAAATCACATCATTTTGTTGCCACAACACACTAGGCTAGACCTCAGACAGTAACATATCAAGCTGAAAACACCCAAGATTCTCCAAATGAAGGAACTCTCTCTATGGTGACACAGCAAACCCCTCTAGCATTCACACAAGTGACCTTCCTGGCCCCAGAAAATCCAATGGTGCCTTTTATAATCTGCCAACCCAGCAAGCATAGCTCAAGGAAGAGAAAGAAGCAGCTAGCTTCCCCACACACCTGGTCTGGCGGCTTCCCACCGTCCTTCACGCCACTCCAGGGATATGCCCAAGAGAGCCTCGTCTCCTCCAGAAGACTGTCAAAGTCCAGGTGCCACATCTACCAAGACTTACCTGACCCTCCAAGCCATAGCCAGTTAATTACCTTTGCAACTGCCAGGCCTCCATGGAGCTGATTCATGGGAGCAAAGTTCAGCCCAGCCACCTCCGGCTGGGACAGTTCTGATTTGACGTATTCACTCAGCACATTGTGAGAGGCTGGTGCCTCTGTTTGCCTGGCTGTGGGCTGAGCCAGGTCACTCACAGGGGAATGCATCCAAATCCCCACAAACACGGAAGAGGGACACCAGAGAGAGGAAACCCAGGAAGCCCTGAGGCAGCCTGGTCTGTGAGAAGAGCTCACCTGTGGGATGTGAACTTGAGGCTCCTCCACAGTTTGCTTCTGTGACTCAATTCTCTCACTTGCTTCTTTAAAACAAGAATCACACTTATCTTATTAAGAGCTCCATGAAGATTAAATGTTATTGAAGCAGCACATGATCTGTAAAAGTATAATATTTTCCTTTCGAAAGAGATGAACTATTTCTATCAATTGAGAATAAGCACCTTGATTGCCTGATACGGGTTCTTCTCTCTCGTGCTTCTTTCCATTGGATTCCAATTGGTAATCAATTCTGTTATGAAGCTGGAAGGAAGATTAAAGGCTCAATATTGAACTTGTGACATTGAAAATTTTTTCATTATACAAGAAAGTAATTTTTCACATTTGAAACATTTACGTTTCTCAATTATAGTAGACTGTCCATCAGACAAAGGACTCTTATCTAGAACATATAAAGAATTTTTTAAAAATTAGGCCTCTAAAATTCCAAGACCCAATCCAAAAATTGGCATCTGAGATGAATATATACTTCACAAATGAAGAAATACAATTGGCAAGTAAATATATGAAAGCATGTTTAATATTGTTGGTCATTCAAGAAACGCAAATGAAAACAATGCTGAGATACCACCTTACATCAGAAAGAATGACTGTCATCAAGAAGTCAACCAATAACAAATGCCGGAGAGGCTGTGGGGAAAAAGGAACCCTTTTCCACTGCTGGTGGGAGTGCAGGCTGGTACAACTATTATGGAAATCTCTATGGAGATTCCTCAAAAAGCTAGGATTGGAGGTCCCATTCAAGCCAGCTATTCCCCTCCTAGGTATTTTTCCAAAAGAACTGAAATCATCATACCACAGCGATGTCTGTGCGCCATGTTTATAGCAGTGTGATTTGTCATTGCTAAATCTTGGAAACAACCCAAATACCCATCAACTAAGGAATAGATAAAAAATATATGGTATTGCTACACAATGGAGTATTATTTACCTATGAAAAAGATGAATGCAAGGTTTTTGTAGATAATTGGATGCAGCTAGAGACTCTATTAGTAAGTGAAATAAATCAGATCCACATGTTATTATCTCACTAGTGTAAGAACCTGAAAAGGTAATGAAAATCTTAAAGGCACACCAGATACTTTGAAAGGGAAAGAAATTGTTGGGTGGGAAGGATAAACTGGGATAAGGAAAAGGACAAATGAAAGGGGAAAAGATAAATTTAGGTATATATGCAGAATAGTTTGGATAATTGTATTGTCGCTTTCTGCTGGTCTTTTGAAAGGAGAAGTTAATGCTTAAAAAAAGCTTAACTCTGATTTTTTTTCTTCCCCTTTTGAATTTTTTTATAACTTCTTGGTTATTGTTTTGTTTCTTTCTTTCTTTAAACAAATCTTGCACATTTATATCTGGTAATCTGAACAACTAATATGAAGATACCATCATGGACTACAGCAATCGTTGTTGAACTCCTATTACTTTGTTTAGTGAAATCTTGTATTGTTTTGAATGCTGCTCTTTTTTTCTATCTCTATTTTGTATTCTTTAAAAAAATAAAAATTAAAAATATAAAAGAAAAATATGCTTCCTCAGCATTAAAATAAACATGGAGAAGCATACGCCCACATTCACACATATTTTAAAAGTCAGTGTGGCTCTTTTATAAGCCAAATAGTTTATTCTCTCTTTCAACAAACTTTACTGAGTGTTGTATGTGTGAGTCTGACACACGTCATACGGAAGATGCATTCTTGCCTTCAAAAGGCTTAGAGCAAATTAGGCTCTATATATTTGCCAGTCCAGGGAAAAACACCACGATTAGGTCTCATGGTAAGATAAGAAATATAGGGCTGGTGAGATGGCTCAGTGGTCTAAAGCACCTACTTGGAACAAGCTTGGCAAAGCACAGGGACTGCGGTTCAATCCCCCAGCACCACATGC